AAGTAGTCTTGTGGCCGCCCCACAAGTTCTGACATCTTGGATCTCAGGAAAAGCATGAAGAAGCGAAACGACTGCAATACCCGGGTTGGCTCGAGAAAGGTGACCAGAACGCTGGAGTTTCTAAACACAGCCATGTAGAGAGTGGTCAGATAACAACTGCTCACAGTCCATTATAAGTTGCATAAGCACCACTGCTCAATCCAACGGGAGGAGCACAGCAGAGACAAAAAGTTCAAAGAGCTGGTGTCGAGGGCCGAAAATGGCGATTACGCGGGCACCGTTTTCATCGACGACAAAATTCCTCACATGGAGCGGAGCTACAATCTTCAAACTTCGAGGATGCCCGCATGAGGTCTGTGGAAGCCAGTGAGAGTGAAAGGAATATTCGCCACAAGCAGCAGCCAATCTTTATCACGATTTGGGCAAGGGTCTCAATCACCGGTCTCTCACCACAACTGTCTGTTGAAAAGCGAATGAAACTCGATACAGACCTAGCTAACGAATGCTCCAGTGCACCATTCGTTACTAAGGTATCTAGCTTCTCCAAGGAGGAATGACATTCTTTTCAAATTAACCAGCTTCTGCATAAGGGGCAAAATTTGTTTTGGACTGATCTCAGGATGCCGTCCCCGATTTCACATCGATTTCAGCCTGCTGGACCATCCTATTTGGGCTATATTAGGGGACAGGGCCTGCACTAAATAATGCATCCAAACAGAGGAGCTGAAGCCTTTTCTCTAGAAAGTTTCGAAGAAGGAACTCCAGTATGCCTGCGGGAAACACCAGAGTTGCGTTTGGAGCAACTGGAAGCCATACTCACAGCGTCAGGGAGACTTATCGAATAAATGTCATTCCTTTCAACATCTTAAGGACGGACTAAGAATAGTGTGTGACCACTTGAAGATACGTCCACTTTGAGAGAAGTTACAAGATAAGAAAAGTGTTGCAGTATTTATGGAACACCCTGTATACCGAAATCACTGACCTGTTTTCCATCTAGCGGCTGTTGCGCTAAAAACGCAAGCAGGTTTCTCCGTTCTTCGACTGTTGAAGTTCTGAGTATCCGAAGGGGCCCACCGCACAGCGCGCTCTGCGTGGTGTGGGCCATGCTTCAGTAAATTCTATTTAACAAGGCGCGACACAGGGGTGCGCGCCTACTTGTCCGCTTACCCGTCTGCGACTTCCTTCCCGCCGCACGACGGGTCACCTATCTGGTACCCTAGAGTTCTTTATTAAAAGTCTCCAAATTTTGCAGCCTCCACCAATGCATAGTTTTCCCCCGCTTTTTCGCCGGTAGATGTGTGGGTTACTGTACCACATGAGCACTATCGTGTTTATGTCTACACGAGCAAGTCATCTAGACGTCTAGATTACGGTGATGAAGATTCATCTGCGGATCAGCCGGTTTTAGGAATAGTTGTTACTGTAGAGATCTAATTAGCAGAATCCCTTTTCGGAGTCATACAGCAGTGAGCGCCTTGGCCCGATAGGAAAGCTGGCTGGTGATCCGCCATGTTCTCACGGTCCTGCGAAAATCGAACATGTTAGGTGCAAGTTTTGAGCGTGTTTTTAGTATCTGGATCCCTTTTCTTCCTCACCCCCCTACTTTCCCCTCCGACCCCCCTTTCCCGAACACTCCACTCCTCATTCGAGTGAATCGAGCCCATCACTCACATCGCAGTGCTTGCGCTACATGTTTATCCGTGCTCCTGTAAATCATTACTCACCCACTGAATTCATTCAAAGTATTCCTTTACGACTGCGAACAAAGATCGAATGTATACATCATCCCAAAACGTGTGATCTACTGCAGAGGATTCAGAACAGCCCCAATAGGTGATTTCACCTTTTCTAAGTGTTCACTCAAACTAGTTAACTGCAATTTCAGTCAAGAACTCGGCAGGAAAAGGACGAATCTCCTGGGAGTATAACTGACCTCAGAAATCACAATGAATTCCGAACACTTCTATATTCGACCTCAGCAAGTATTACGGTACAAGCAAGAAAAAACTTCATTTCTCCATTTCTGGTCGTGCTTGAAATCAGGGTGACTTCTGGGGGAGGATATCGTGTTGGCATTGAAAAAGGTCACTTATAGTAGCTAATCATGAACGATGACACCACGAAAAGACACATCGACCCTAGACTAAGGGTTGAAGCACCGCCATTCGTCCCATTAACGAACTCGTTCGCTGAGGGGTTATGAGCGTTGTTCCGTTCAGCAGAGAATCCATCCCCTGAGACTGTAGAGCTGTCCACTTCAGGCGCTGCTTGGCCGTGACTTTGACTGTTGGTGACAAGCGGCGCGAGTACGAGCATGAGCGCTGGAAACGAAAAACTTGGTAACAGACCAGAAATTAAACTGGTAAAGATGTAAACTGAGAAGAACAACGCACTTAGCAGCACTGCCTTCTGATGCATTTTGGTGTCGGCGAACGGAAAGGCGGAAGCGCAACATGATGATTCGTTTACTTATATAGTGGTAGTCGATGTGTGATCCCGTGCCGATCGGTGTTGATAATGAGTCAATTTAAAGCAGAACATTCTGTCCACAGACGTAAGAGACTGTGAATAATTTTTTTCGACGCCCTCTCTACCAAAACATTACAGCAACAAATTCTTTTCGAATACAGCACTTGCTTTCCTGCCAAATTCCAATAAAAGTCGACATTTTCTCCACGAATTACTGAAGATGTCAAGAAGCAGTAGAGTGGTGGCAATATTCACTTGTTTGAAAGAGCTATGCACAGGGTTTAGGCCAATTGATAACTGCTACTGTAGTAAGCGAGCGCCATTCAACACCGACTTAACTCTTAGTGTTCTATGTGGTGGTTCAACGAGTCAAAACATACTACCCCCAAGAGCGAAGCCGTAGTCAAGATCAGCAAATCATTATGCCTACAGAGGTGGCGCAGTGGCTAGGGCTGGAGCTATCTTTACAGCGCGCAAGAATGAACAGCGTATGATTTGGATGGACTTCTCTCTCACAAGAGGATGCACAAATGAATCAAATATTATCTGCGGAGATGGACCATTTGGTCTTTTTCAGCTCAGGTGATTTAGGCGCAAAAGGCCCCAAATGAACTAATCATCCAAAAAGGAACATGGTCGCGTGGCGCATCCCAGTCAAACTTTAGAAACTCTGCTGTTCCTTGAGGTATTCTCCAACAAGGAACGCCGGCGTGCGGTCGCGGCGTGCGCGCGCGGACGGTGAGTGAAGCCCTGGGTGAATTAACTATCACACTTGGTTATGTTTCTCTGTAGAGTTGGTGACGGAATGTCGGAACCGCTAGAGCGGATGGGGCGCTTTTTTTCGCTTTTTTAACCACATTTAGGCCTCTGAGGACGACTTGTCGAAACGTTAGGCCGATTCAATAAACATTCCACCTATCAACCTCGTATGGCGCATAAAGCGAATACAAACAAGAACATCTGCTGCTTCTGTTTTTGTAGTATTTTGCTGTGCAATATATAATCCTATAATTATAAGTGATTGGTACTATCGAACTTTTTGTCTAGTTCTCTGGCTACGATCGGCTTTGACAAGTTATTTTACACTGACTAAAAGGATGAAGCGCGATGATAAACGTCAAGAAGTTGATAATCTCTCCCTCGTCCTTTCTACTAGGTAGAGCTCTTCTCAATAACCGGACCTGATAAGGTAGTAGTGCCAGATGTGATCCACGGGAAGGAATATCGGCCGCATTGAACACCATCGCCCGTACTGCTCACCTTCCTCGCAGAGCTCATCTTCAAGAGGGCCATTACGTACCTTACTACTCCGGTCCATACTAGCCATGGCCCATATTTCCGAGATTCGGTCAAAGACTTGTTTTTTCCTAAAACATCCGCCATAGGGGTGATCCAGCGTGTACCCTTCCGCTTTTTTCGATATTGACACAAGTTAGCGCAATTGTAGCCCCATTCCACGCCATTTGGCGCCCAAGCCTCTTATAGCGAGTCGGGATTGTATTGATGCGTTATTTTGTTCAAACATTAGGCAAGGGGTGCAATGAGGAACATTAGTGAGGAGAAAAAGCAAAAAGCACCATAGAAAACACTAAATTTCCCTTAGGAGGCCGGCCGTAGTACGACGGAGAGACACAGCGCTGCGAGGAGAGGGAGAACGCGAGATAGTACGTCATACGTGAGAGACGCAGAGACCACGTATGCCGTGGCGGGCAAGGCCTTAGCGCCATTGCCGCGCACTTTTGGGTCGCGATAGTGTCGCGCCCTCAGTGCTTGGGGAGCCCACTATCGCACCCTGGGAAAACTTCTGCTGGTTGCCTAATCCTGACTCGTGGCTCTAATCGAACACCAATGACTCTTTAATCCTTTGCGTAGGTTTCAAGCAAAAACCTACTTACAAAGGTTAATGATGATCCAATCGTAAGTACAATAGCGATTTCCGGTGCAGGGAAAATTTGGCCCTACTTATGGTTATAAGGCGCTAACCTAAAATGCAATCTTTTGTCATCAGCCAGGGTCAACCCTTGACGTTTTCGTTCCATCGACTATAAAAGGCCATTCCAAAAAAGCTCTCTATATCCTGAAAGAGCTTTCCGGGTGAGAGACAATAGCTGTGACTGTGCGAAAGGGCTTTTGACCAGCGTTTGTGATAACGTCACAATAGTTCACGATCCGTCGAGGAACTCGTTGAGCTCGTACCGTGCACCGTGCTAACAAACCAAAACATTCTGATAACGTCGGGGCAGAAGAGTCTTATGGAAACTGATGGTACAAAAATGTGCTCTTCAATTTCACTTCTGGAGTGACCTTTCTTTTCCTTTGTAGTACTATAAGTATGATTATTACAAAGAATTCGTGCGACGTTTCTCGGGGGGGGGGGAAGGGGTAAAGTATTGAAAATAGCACAGCACGCTAGTGGACTCTATCTGGGAAATAAAATTTCGTAAATGAAAAATGAGCATATAAATTGCACAAGGATACATCACAGATCATTTGAAGATTTATTTAAAAGTTCTGTTACAATTGTATAACTATAGAACTGTTGATTTGGCACCGCAGTTGACTATAGCATGCTCAATGAGAGTTGACATCTCTTTAGCTGTTGAAGCGAATTCCTTCAACTGAAAATAATGGATGTCCATACACACAAATATGAACAGTTAGCCCAGCAATTTTTCATGGTGAAAAACTGAAGTATGCTTTAGTGGCATCAATGTGAAAATTCCGGCAGTTTCTGATGTTTATTGTTTTGAAATCTGTTTAAACTCAATTGACATCTGCACACTTCTTTCAGTGCTCTTAATGAAAAAAAAATAATTTTCAGAGAATTCTAAAGATATCTCCAGTCAGGGCCATCTAACGACGTGTTACTTATACAGTACAATGACCTGTCCTAGGGTCTGTAAATGCTATGGTGTATACCTGGTCACAGTCCACATCAAGAATGGTGAAGACCACGGCGATGTGCTTGTACTACTATGTACTCCTTTAGAGCCGGCTTGAGGATTGCGGCAGCAATTGATAGAAGGCATTAGAGGTTGGTCTGCTGATCATCGACAGCCACAGTTACGTCGCTCCCGCCCATACCCCGTAAGCCGTCTGGGCCTTAGCGGGACTAGCGAAGTGATGAGGCGTAGCGTCCGGTAGGCCGGACGCATAGTCGGTCGGACGACAGCAACGACTGCTGCTGTCGGACGACAGCAACGACTGCAGGTGTCGCATAAACCGCGGTCGCAAATGGAAGGCGACGCGGTCACCCAATGCAAACCCAGACAACACGTGACTGCGCGTGATCGTATTTCGAAAGTCCCACTGTAGTGTGGAATAGCTAGCTGCGTATTGATCTTGCGACGCTGCAGGTCGGGTTGGCTGTCGTCGACTAGCAGCAGTGTAAGTGTGCGTCGCGGGGCTTGCAGATGTGCTGCCGACTGAGACACGATCTGGCATTGCGCAAATCAGCAGGACAAGGAGGTCGTCCAGACTTTAGGTTGGCTGAGCTGGTTTTACCCGTTTTATTCGTCGTTGTTTTACCAACGCTTTAACTTCTTAGCGGGTCAGCCTCTTTCATAGTGATCTATGAGGTCGCGACAAAGCCTTACGTTGACATCATGAATTTTGGGTCTTAAAAAAGCAATGCGGCCGTGAAGCCCCGAACCAACAACACCGCCATATTGATGGAAAGTTATCGGACAGGAAACAATACTGTTCTTTGAGGTGGCCCTTTCTGCGTTGATAAAAATACGAAGATTTCCTAGAAAGTCATCGACTTTTTTGTGTATACAGGTGCTGTCGAGCAGCTTCAAGCAGGGTCAGCCGTGCGTTGCACAGATTTCAAAACTTTTACGATCCCCCTTTTTTTTGAAGGGTATCAGTACGACGTCCCTCTGTAGAATCAACTACCAGTGTTCCGTTTTTACATATTTTATGCAATTTGTCTAAACAACTCTCGCCGGCGAATTTGGAAGAAGGTTCAGCAAAAGTTTCCAAGCCCGTTATGGGACGTTCTGTTCCAACCGTTGCGTTCACCAAGCAAGGCACTAGCAGATCTCAGTTTGCTTCCAGGATTCGCCAGTCAAACAACCTACAAGAGACGGGGATGTAAGAATCATCTCGGACTGCCCCCCCCCTATTCAAAAGGCGACCTTCCTCAGGATTATTTTGCTTCAGGACTCAAGAATTTCGACAACGCGTCGGAGTTACTTGCCCTACAAAGACATATTCTTTTAGTACGATCATTCCGGTGGCGCGAGCATATCATTCGTAAGATTGATTACTTTGCTAAAGATAGAAAAGTGACCTCTAGCACAAGAATGCATAATTGCACAGAAAACCCATTACCGACAACTTATAATTTCCAGACAAGCCGGACCACGAGGACCGTTCACAATGGCAGCGATATTATGAAGGGACATTTCTTTGAAAGCTGCTCATTGTGCTAAATAAGAAAAGTGAATTAGAGAAAAAATCCACGAGTGGCTCAGGACTTCTCCGAAAACCGAAGGGGTGAAAGTAATGAATGTAGCGCAGCAACACGCTAGTGGACTCGGAATTCGTACGACGTTTCTCGGGAAGGGGAGGGGAAGGAGTAAAGTATTGAAAATAACACAGCACGCTAGTGAACTCTATCTGGGAAATAAAATTTTGTAAATGAAAAATGAGTATATAAATTGCACCAGGATATCATAGTCCGATTTATACGAAGTTATTACATTGTGTAACTATAGAACTGTTGCTTGTGCATGCTCGACTTCACGTTTTCGCCCACCAGTTGTCGCTCCTCCAGTACCGGTGTTACCGGTTGTTCCACCAGCACCAGCTGTCGCTCCTCCAGTACCGGTGGTACCGGTTGTTCCACCAGCACCAGCTGTCGCTCCTCCAGTACCAGTGGTACCGGTTGTTCCACCAGCTCCTCCAGTTCCAGTTGTCCCAGAATTCGGAGCGCAGGCCTGTAACAGAGTACAATGTTATGTTATCATGCCGAGAATTCCTTTTCTAACAAATATTTTCAAAGTGTCATAGTTTGTTCCAACTCTTCACGAGTTTTATATCCTCATATGTTCACAAGCTGTGGCCCTAAATTATCATTAGCACACTTACCAGCGACAGCGAGGTCGCGATGACACTGAGAATTATTACCAAATGAACCATGGCGATTTGTTACGCAGCGACACGGTCAATGATTCGTTGACTAGGAAGATAAATGTTAGTCAAAGCCAATGATAAGATTATGAATTCAAACAGCAGCGACCGTAACTCTTTGCATCGCACAAATCCTAACGGACTCAGTCTTAATTTTGCCTCACCAATATCGCTGGAGTCGCAACTTCAAACGTTAGGTTTCAAAACCAGGGGGAGTTTCTGAGTCCAAGAAACACTGTACGAAAAGAAGATCATTCCGTTTACTCCACAAATCTTCAAAAGAATCTGCTAACAAAGACGTCTTCATGATGACGGCCCCTCTAATTTTTCACTATATTGCTTCAGAAATAATAAAGCATAAGAGTTATTATCAAACTTTTCTGTAGGTAATTTTGCCATTGATTCGTATAGGAACGAGTTTACATGGGCCGCAGTGATTACTGGTGTGAATGAACCTCTGTGAGAGCAAACAAGTAGTACTGTTGGAGGTCGGCTGGTCGGCCGTTATTTATGCTCACCATTGCGGTTCAGAGTTTAGGAACAATGCCTTTGTGACGCTTCTCGCAGGTGATTTCATGGATAAATACGTGCTCCATGTTTTCACATAGGTTTCTATGCAGTCCTCTCTACATCGACGTGATAAATTGGAATTTTTGAAAATGGGCATCTGTTGAGTGGCGAGCGCATTTCGGGTAATCACGAAATTATTCGGGATTATCCGAAATTCGCATGAGGATCTGATAAGGAATATTGGCTCAACCTATAAATCTTGTCCGCATTTAACACTTTAGTTTATTCAAGTTTCACTCTCCCAAGCAACAACTGATCAACACTGTACCACCGCATGGACAGTGATACGCATGCTGTTACTGAAAATGTTTGGACGTTTGCCTCCCAGAATGATTGAAGCTGGGGCTTGAAGAATTTGGAGAATTCGGCTTTTGCGTGATTGTACCTTTTACATTTTTCTCTCGCAGCTGCTATTTGAGAGCCCGTGGAGGCAATAATCCGATGGAGCAATGCTAATGCTATATGGTGGATGCAGCATCTTGGTCCACGCCGTCATACTCAGAAAGTTGCGAGTCGGGATTGCAAAATGAGGTTGGACGTGCATTGGAGATGTGCGAGATGTTTCAGCGGTTCTGTCCACTGTCCTCCTTGCAACAGCGGATACTGACCTACGTGAAGATAATGAAGCATAATCCTTTTCTCATCTCATCATCTAATCGCAATTAAGTAACTTTCTGCGGGATTGCTCTCCTGAAGAGACCATGTCACTGCACCCCATGCATTTTTAATGTGTCTCATTATTCCGCAATTAAGCGGGCTTAAACAGGAGATTCGAATCCAATAGGAACTCGAACAGGAATTGGGAGACCCATTATAATGGGAAGTGCCAGCTTTGGTATGCACTGAAATTTTCTAACCGGCTGAACCAACATGTGAGAGGTCGATTGAATCCCCTCATTGCTGCAAATCAAATCCAAAGTCATCTTCGCAACAGTGTCGCAACAATGTGTGGACATACCAAGAAAGCCATCATGGATAATGAAATTCCGCAACCACCATTCCGGAAAATATTTCATGATATTTCATAAAAATTTTTCCAATTTTTTTCTCTGAATCGTTGGTAAACAAAATCATTTTGTGTACCAACGTTAGATAATTGCTTCGCTAATATATTTGATCACGAAAACACCTGCGAGAAGCGTCACAGAGGCATTGTTCCTAAACTCTGAACCGCAATGGTGAGCATAAATAACGGCCGACCAGCCGACCTCCAACAGTACTACTTGTTTGCTCTCACAGAGGTTCATTCACACCAGTAATCACTGCGGCCCATGTAAACTCGTTCCTATACGAATCAATGGCAAAATTACCTACAGAAAAGTTTGATAATAACTCTTATGCTTTATTATTTCTGAAGCAATATAGTGAAAAATTAGAGGGGCCGTCATCATGAAGACGTCTTTGTTAGCAGATTCTTTTGAAGATTTGTGGAGTAAACGGAATGATCTTCGTTTTCGTACAGTTTTCGCCAACCATGCTAGTGTCGCTCTCAGCCTCCGTTTAACCGGTGTTTTGTTTCCTAGCCATGCAGCACCAGCTGTCGCTCCTCCAGTACCGGTGGTACCGGTTGTTCCACCAGCACCAGCTGTCGCTCCTCCAGTACCAGTGGTACCGGTTGTTCCACCAGCTCCTCCAGTTCCAGTTGTCCCAGAATTCGGAGCGCAGGCCTGTAACAGAGTACAATGTTATGTTATCATGCCGAGAATTCTTTTTCTAACAAATATTTTCAAGTGTCATAGTTTGTTCCAACTGTTCATGAATTTTATATCCTCATATGTTCACAATCTGTGGCCCTAAATTATCATTAGCACACTTACCAGCGAGGTCGCGATGACACTGAGAATAATTAGCAAATGAACCATGGCGATTTGTTACGCAGCGACACGGTCAATAATTCGTTGCTAGGTAGATAAATGTTAGTCAAACCCAATGATCAGATTATGAATTCAAACAACAGCGAGTACTTTCTGATCCGAAATCCTAACGACTCCAGTCTTAATTTTGCCTCACCAATATCGCTGCACATGTGATGGCAAAGATGCGTGTTAACTTATTCATCAAGAAGTTCATAATCTCTCCCTCGTCCTTTCTACTAGGTAGAGCTCTTCTCAATAACTGGACCTGATAAGGTAGTAGTGCCAGATGTGATCCACGGGAAGGAATATCGGCCGCATTGAACACCATCGCCCGTACTGCTCACCTTCCTCGCAGAGCTCATCTTCAAAGGGGCCATTACGTACCTTACTACTCCGGTCATACTAGCCATGGCCCATGTTTCCGAGATTCGGTCAAAGACTTGTTTTTTCCTAAAACTTCCGCCATAGGGGTGTACCTTTCCGCTTTTTTCGATATTGACACAAGTTAGCGCAATTTTAGCCCCATTCCACGCCATTTGGCGCCCAACCCTTTAAACGAGTCGGGATTGTATTGATGCGTTATTTTGTTAAAGCATTAGGCAAGGGGTGCAATGAGGAACATTAGTGAGGAGAAAAAGCAAAAAGCACCATAGAAAACACTAAATTTCCCTTAGGAGGCCGGCCGTAGTACGACGGAGAGACACAGCGCTGCGAGGAGAGGGAGAACGCGAGATAGTACGTCATACGTGAGAGACGCAGAGACCACGTATGCCGTGGCGGGCAAGGCCTTAGCGCCATTGCCGCGCACTTTTGGGTCGCGATAGTGTCGCGCCCTCAGTGCTTGGGGAGCCCACTATCGCACCCTGGGAAGAACTTCTGCTGGTTGCCTAATCCTGACTCGTGGCTCTAATCGAACACCAATGATTCTTTAATCCTTTGCGTAGGTTTGAAGCAAAAACCTACTTACAAAGGTTAATGATGATCCAATCGTAAGTACAATAGCGATTTCCGGTGCAGGGAAAATTTGGCTCCTACTTATGGTTATAAGGCGCTAACCTAAAATGCAATCTTTTGTCATCAGCCAGGGTCAACCCTTGACGTTTTCGTTCCATCGACTATAAAAGGCCATTCCAAAAAAGCTCTCTATATCCTGAAAGAGCTTTCCGGGTGAGAGACAATAGCTGTGACTGTGCGAAAGGGCTTTTGACCAGCGTTTGTGATAACGTCACAATAGTTCACGATCCGTCGAGGAACTCGTTGAGCTCGTACCGTGCACCGTGCTAACAAACCAAAACATTCTGATAACGTCGGGGCAGAAGAGTCTTATGGAAACTGATGGTACAAAAATGTGCTCTTCAATTTCACTTCTGGAGTGACCTTTCTTTTCCTTTGTAGTACTATAAGTATGATTATTACAAAGAATTCGTGCGACGTTTCTCGGGGGGGGGGGAAGGGGTAAAGTATTGAAAATAGCACAGCACGCTAGTGGACTCTATCTGGGAAATAAAATTTCGTAAATGAAAAATGAGCATATAAATTGCACAAGGATACATCATAGATCACGATTTATTTAAAAGTTCTGTTACAATTGTGTAACTATAGAACTGTTGAAGCTTGTGCATGCTCGACTTCAATCGACCTCTCACATGTTGGTTAGAGGCGGTTAGAAAATTTCAGTGCATACCAAAGCTCGCACTCCAAGATGCTGCATTCGCCGTGTAACATTAGCATTGCTCCATCGTATTATTGCCTCCATGGGATCCCAAATAGCAGTTCGCGAGAAAAAATGTATAAAAGGTACAATCACGCAAAAGCTGAATTCTCCAAATTCTTAAAGCCCCAGCTTCAATCATTCTGAGAGGTAAACGTCCAAACATTTTCAGTAACAGCATGCGTATCACTGTCCATGCGGTGGTACAGTGTTGATCAGTTGTTGCGTGGGAGAGTGAAACTTGAATAAACAAAAGTATTAAATGCGGACAAGATTCATTTAGGTTGAGCCAATATTCCTTATAAATATACCTCAAATGTCAGAATTTCGGATAATCCCAATTAATTCGGGATCATCCGCAGAATGCGAACTCCGTCACAGCTACAACAGAATCCGGGCGCCGCATTTCCAAAAATTTCAATTTATCAACCGTAGATGAAAATAGAGGGACTCTGCAATATGAACGCTTAGCCCAGCAATTTTTCATGGTGAAAAACTGAAGTATGCTTTAGTGTTTTGAATTTTTGATTTCAAATTTTCAACTGCCATTACATCTGCACACATTCTTCCAGTGGCTTCTAATGAGTAATTTTCAGAAAAACTTACAACCTTCAGAAGAAGAACTGCGCATGTCTGGTGAATGCTCAATTTCCTACTGTGTAACAGAATAAATAATACAGAGTATTCAACTTGGTACTGATTTTCTGGAACTAGTTGCCCTGTGTTTCACAAATCCACCTAACATTCTTGAACAGTATTTAATTCTGAATGGAAAAATGAAAATAAAAAAAATCGCCTAACTCTGTCGATCTCGCGCTCATCATGATATTCAATGTATCTGTTCTCTTCTAAATTTCTTAGGAATTGAATGTATCCCTTCTATGGTCTTCCGCATGGGTATTAAAAATAGTTCAAGGCCCAGACTTTTGAAAGTTGTACTACCTAGTAGTCGGTTCCAGATAGAAACAATCAAGAGAGCACCTCGATTACGTTTCTTTTCTCAGAGAGGTGTGTACATTCGACCTTCTCTCACAAAAGAGGAACGAGAACGTAGACGTGAGGCCCGTCAGAAAAATAGCGATCGCCAATAACAACACAGCAGTTGAAACAACACAACGTAGTAACTCCGAGCGTGCTAGTCAAAATGATGCTCCCCAGAATTTGATGGATACCACTTCACAGGGAAACCTCCGACCTCTCCTCGGCTAGAACCTAGGATAAAGTGTATCCTTTCTAATATACGATCATTGGTAAAAAAATTATAATTCTTTGGTTCTACTTCTACTTCATGAAAACTATGACCTGGTTCTTATTACAGAGACATGGCTCACCTCAAAACATGATACTACCCCCCTCCTAGGCGTTGTGAGCTCGCAATATGATGTTTTACGTTGTGATCGTCCTCCAGAAAAGAGGTGGTGGAGTTCTTGCCCTAATCAAGAATACTATGTCTTACGAAATCGTTCACAAAGAATCACTGAACGATGCATTCGAAATACTTATAGTTGATCTCATTATTCGCCATCAGACTTTTAGATTAATACTACATAGTTTACAGAACCCCAATATGGGGTAGAGTGAGAGCGTTTGAGGCTGGGCGAGGCGAATGGCACCTTCCTTGATTGTAGGCGACTTCAATCTAGCTGATATTGATTGGCATGTTGATGACCAGTTTGCTGATTGCAACTCCATTTCTAGGGATTTCCTCGAGATGTTCCGGTCGCACAACTTTGTACAATTTGTCAAAAAACCCATCCCGGGGCGACTCATATCTTGATCTAGTTTTATGTAACGATGACCACTTGATTCATGGATTAGAAATGCAGGCTCCAATCGGTAATAGTGATCATGCTTCTATTATATTTGACCTTAATGTCAGTTCCCTGAATGTGGCTCCACGGAGATGGATCAGAGATTTCAACAAGGCTAATTACGGAGCTATTGGGAATTATCTGAGCGATATTGATTGGGTTGGATCTTTTGGCGCAATCTGTAACTCGACTGAGAGAGAAATACGGAGCTGATTCATTACGTCTAAACGACGCTATACCCACGTCGTTTTTTGTTCCGCCCTAGTGCACTGCGTCGTAAGAACGTCGTTACCGAAAAATACCGCGATACCTTGAAGAGAAATGATTTGTCAACGGAGTCGCCTATGGAAAAATGCGGTATCAGGAGATTGTGATGCAAGCTGGGATGAATATAAAACTTTTGACATGAAACTAAATAAATGTATGACAAAATATAATGCATATTTAGAAAGGAAAATAACAAAGTCTAAGGATCCCACTAAGCTATTTACCTACATCACTAAGCGTCTCAAAGACACTAAGAAGATACCGGCATTACGAATTGATGAAACTACCCTCGCTATACTTGACGGTGATAAGGCAGAAGTACTTGCTGAATCTTTCCAAAAGGTTTTTCACGCGTGACAGAGACACTGCTTTGGATGAACTCCCATCATGCACTCATTCTATGGAACCATCACTATGGTTTCATAGGGACGAAATATACAGATTGCTATCGTAGCGGGCCTAGTTCTTACTCTATAACACCAGATTTTGTCCCTCTCAATTTCATTAGAAACATCGCACAGTATATTGCCTTCCCACTAGAGCTCCTCTTCAACTTGTCATACATGAGATCTGAAGTTCCATCTCGGTAGAGGCATTCCTTCATTGTGCCCGTACCCAAAAAACCTCCCTTCAGTAATCCTTGCAACTATCGTCCCATAAGTATCACCTCTATTTTTTCCAGATTTCGAGAAAATGCTCAAATCAAAACTGACACAACATTTCTCATGCATAATAACATCATTCCATCATCGTGCCAACATGGTTTCTGTGCTGGAAAATCCACCGTAACTGCACTACTAAGCTCTCTCAATGACTGGTCTGGAGCCCTTGATACTCGTAAGCAAGTTCATGTTATATATTTTGATTTTGCAAAAGCATTTGATAGAGTGAGTGCCCGTTTCTCAAAACTCATCAAAAAACTAACTAGAGTCCATAGGGGTATACCCACTTCTGACTAAGTGGATCAAATCTTTCCTAACAGGACGCACCTATCAAGTTCGTGTTGGAGACAAACTCTCATC